TTTGCATAAAACACTGTATACTGCTACTGCAGGCATGTACTGACATAATAAACAGTTGCACTTAGACAAGATTTTTAATGAATTTTTGGACAAGCAATATTTCCATGTTTGACTGAATTGCCCCAGGATCCAGTCAGTCATTTCCAAACTGAATTATTGAATATCACAAAACAAGACAAGTGTTAAATTAATGAATTTTAATAATTTTTATATATGATGTATTCATATATGCATGTATATGATGGTGTAACTGAATTTCTACTGAAGTGAGGGAAGACATAATTGGAAAGGTTTAGACTTTCCTAAATTTACTACCGGTATGTAAATCTCTTCTTAGTGCAACTAAGAACATACAGTGAAAATAAAGTCTGAAAAGATTTGGAAGTACAGCATATTGTCACAGTGCAAATACCGATAGTGTCTACAAATTGAATACCAAATTGGAAGTGATCCAAAGGATGTTCCAATGACACAGAATATAGTAAAATATTAATTATTAATACATTAATTCTTTCTAATATTTTTTTTATAAGGTCCAGAAAAAAAAATTATGTGGTCAAATAATTTTTTTATTTTGAATTTGAAATTGTTATTTTTATGCACACTTTTAATTGATGAGGAAAGAAGACCAAAACAGATGCAAATTCAAGCCAAGATTCTTCCAGGGTGATATACAATTATTTGAAATTCAAAACGATTTGATTCATGAGAACCCAGAGTGAAATAATAAAACATGCAATATGTAAACACCTTAACAAACTTAAGATTGGTGAGATAACACAAAAACCAATCACAGCAACTGACTTTTCTATTAATCAATGGTGCTGCAGACTATAAACAAGGATAAAAAACAAAATGAAGATTCAAAAACCAATAAGTTAGGGAGTCCAATTACTTAATATGCAAATTGTATTTTACCACCTGTATTTTTAGATGTAATATAAGATACAATATTAATTTGAATAGAGACATTGTTGAAAAGTGATGACAAACTGTCTACTACTACTTGACTACAGATGTATAGTCCAAAATTGCGTTAAAAAAAAAAGTTTACAATTTGCATACTAATGAGAAGACACCCTAGGTAGGCAAGTTTATATACCTTAGTACCAAGCACCAAGTTCTCAGATATGGAGAAAATTTGAGACTGAATAACCTCCTCAATGAAAGATGAAAAATGAAGTATATCACAAAAAGTTTAGAATGTTGACTAGGACTGGGAACGGATTATGAAAATGCAATTGATTACATACAGAAAGCTAGAATAGAATATGCAACTATCATTGGCTTAGACATGCATACAGGGAAATTTAGATCAGATAATGTCAGAATTATGCAATTATTCACATAAAACATGTGAGAAACTCAGAAAAAAGTGAAAAGATATCAACCAAAAGACATACCCGATGTTCTGGCAATGGCTGTGTCAGTAAACTAACAGCAACCATGACAACCACACATATCCAGAACACTAACAGTGCAAAGTACATAAACTGCAATGTGACAATGGGTGGTCTGGTGTCTTCTTCACATGATCCAGGTGCCGGATACACAAGGTCCAATATAAATCGAATTGATCCAATTACAATTCCAACCATTAGACTCCAAAATGCACCCTGTAAAAATGAAATAGTTATTTGAGCACATTTGTGTACCATAATGTGTTACAACTATGTTCAAAGATGTGTTACAATTATGTTCAAAGATGTGTTACAATTATGTTTAAAGATGTGTTACAATTATATTCAAAGATGTGTTACAATTATGTTCAAAGATGTGTTACAAATGTGTTACAATTATGTTCAAAGTTGTTACAAATGTGTTACAATTATGTTCAAAAAATGTTACAAATGTAATACAATTATGTTCAAAGATGTTACAAACGTGATACAATTATGTTCAAAGATGTTACAAACGTGATACAATTATGTTCAAAGATGTTACAAACGTGATACATTATGTTCAAAGATGTTACAAAT